TGTGTTGGGGGGTGGGGGGGGGGTTATTTTTTATAATTTTATTTTTTAATGTCAGACACAGAGTCCTCAATCTCGTTTTCTGCAGCCTCTGTTCTAATTGAATGGAAACCTCTCAGTACAGGCTTCCCATTCATTCAGAAACTGGTGATAGCAAAATATTTACTAACATCCAGTTATCAAAGGGTAGAAGCCTCTATAGTGAGTGCTTCTTCCCACTGAGAAAGTCCTGAATGAACAGCAAGTGATGTAAAGCAAATCCTGTTAATTCATAACTGAGGACTCATAGTACTATGTGTCCCCAGTTATTTATAAACACTGGAGTGATCAGCTGATCGCTCCACTGTTTGTTCTGCACACAGAGGATCGGTAAATATCACAGATATTTACCGATCCTCCGCTCCGCCACGCATGCGGCCGCTGTCATCCTGAAACTGACAAGATAACAACGGCTCCGCTTTCCTCCCCGCTCGGCCATCCTGACAGCTGCGGCTTTTTTCCTCCTCACCGCTCTGTCATCCCTACAGCTGGCAGCGCTCCCACCTCTACCACCCCGCAGGCTTCAGCGGACATTTGCTCCTCGGATCCCCGATGCCTATATCTGCAGAGGCAACGGGGATCCGAGGAGAAAGACAGCTTTGAAGCGGGTGGGGGTCGGAGGAGGGAGTGCTGTCATGTTGGATGGCCGAGCAGTGAGGAGAGCATAAGCTGCAGGCTGTGCCGCCCCGTGACCAAGCTGTGTTGGCCACCTGGCGCCCTTGTTGCCATGGCGCCCTGTGTGGCCGCACAGCTCAAACACCTTAAAGGCCAGCCCTGCATGGACGGGTGGGAGAATCTGCTGGAGCCAACGATTGTCTTTATCCATTATAATCGATTTCATCGATTAGTTGTTCCAGCCTTATTTACATAGCATATACAGTATAGTTTACACAGTGCTTTACATAATGAACATTTACATCAGTTCCTGCTCTCAAGAAGCAATACAATATAAATACAATATAATATAAAGTATCCTCCCTCCCTGTGCTCTGCATTGCTCTCTGCCTCTTCCATCACTCAGTAGAGTTTATTGTGTGCCCTCCTGCATTGCCGCTCTCTCCCGATCCCTTGTGTGCCCTCGTCATGCTGCCCCACCACCAAGCCCAAGCCCTTACCACTGATAAGATCAGCGCCCTGACTTCATACTGGTCTCATCAGTGGATTTTCTGTTGCGGATGGTGAGCTGGAAGTCAGTAAAAACGCCTCTATGTTTACCTTCACTTAATGAGCATTTCTGTGTTCATTCATAAACTGAAGGAGAGACAAAAAACTTGAGCAGCATGTTTACCAATCTCCTGAAGTTTGTGAATGAACCCAAAAGAGTACAGTACTGAGCACTTCCATGGTCAATAGTATGTGTCGGGCAGCAGGGGAAAAGGAGATTGAAGACACTTGTGGCCCCAACCTATGCTTCCACCCCTAAGGGGTAACATCAGGGGTCTGTTTAGATTCCTGATATTTCTCCAAAGAGGACCTGTCACAATTGGAGTATATACTATCGCTAAAGAGCTTGTCATCCCCTGGTAAAAGTATTTATGCAAAAAAAAAAGTAAATAAATAAACCTAGCATCAAAAAAATATCTATACAAAATCCC